GTATCTCGGAGACATCTTGTCTTCCTGCTGGTGGCCAAGAGAGTCATAACCAGCTGCAGTCCCCCACAGGTGTTACCCTCTTGAATTGAGTGGCCTGTCCGTGTCACAGATCCAGGTTTGAATGGTATTACGTGGCATCCGCCTGGCCCCACTGAAAATAAGGAATCTGACACGTGCATGACATTCCTATTCACATCTCGTGTTTTTGTCTCCTACTCATTTCTCTTCCAGGATTTGTTGTCCCTTTTCTTTGACTGTTGGTTTGCTTGCCCCCTTTGCATCTGTCAGAATGGGTGTTTTGTTCTGGCAGGTTCAGAGTTTTGTAGGTTTTAAAGGAGGTGTTGTCTCTGGTCAACACTAAAAATAAAATCTAAAAATGTAAAAATACAGTTTTAGACTAGAGTAGAACTTTGGATTGTTGTTTCTCTTTTTTTGCTTTAAATTAAATTTGCAGCAAGACTGTGCATCTTTTTAAGCCAAGCTTACTTCTAACTAAATACACAACACAAAATTGGTTTTGTGTCTCTCTGATAGCTCAGTTTTCTTCAGTTGGATAACTGTGTCAGCATGCTTGTTTTTAATTTTGTAAGGCTATGAAATTTACTGGAAGATATTTTTGCCCAGTCCTACCAGCGTAGGTCCTGATAAAGTCACATATGTGGGCTGTCCCAGTGGAACTGAATGGATCACCAACAGTGAGCAGATCAATGTGTACTTTCTTCTTGAACTTTGCTGTTCTTGTGCAGGTGAAGTCAAGCAGAAATTGACTCACTTGTCAAGAAAGTACATGAATTTGATGGGTGTAATTGGAAAGACAAACTCTTAGATGGTAGCCCATTTGTGTGCAAAATCTGAGGACACTATTTATGGTTTGCCAAGAATCGTTTATATCACTGTAGCTCAGATAATTTTTTCTGTCTCAATTCATCGCATTCTTAATGTAGTAAAAATACCACACTTTGTTTTGTTAGATTTGAAACTCTAAATCAAGGTTTCTCCTGGAATGATTGCAAATTTCTCTGCAGCAGATTCAGAAGGAAACATACTTCCTTAAGTCTTTACTGTAGCCGAGTATGAAATTTGTCTTGCCAGTGTCCTTTTCGTTAGATTGTTTAATACCTTTGTGCAGCATTGATAGTTCCAAATATACCAATAGTGAGTAGAAATAATTTGCTTGTAATACTTAGTGAGAGGGGTCATCAGTGCACAACTTTGTTATTGCAGGAGAAATTTCCGATCAAATGGAGATTAATGTGAGAGCAAACAAAAGGAAACTCCTAGAGAGTGAAAGTGTCATATTTATAGCTTCTTTAGAAGCAAATATTGGCTAGAAGTACTTTGGATTTCAGTAATATATTACTGATCTTTTATTTATGAAAAGTTTTGGTTGTACCACTGAAAGAATGACTAATCATAATGTGCAAATTAATTTATAATTTCAAATTCTAAGAGAGAATCATGTCTATATGATGCACTGCACGATAAGGAAAAAAAAAATTTCAACTCTTGGATTTAGGCCCCCTCTTCCCTACCTTTCAGATGTTGTAAATTCATTAGCCACGTAGTCATTTCGTGAGACTTATTTTAATGTAAAAATATACACTTTTAAAGTGTCCACTCTCTGGATCATCTTCCAGTATTAAAAGCTCTTTATAATTGCAGAAATATTCAACTACTTAGGTCCAGTGTTTATTGTCAGTAGAATTGTAGTTGCATTGTATCCACTGATTGTACGCATTCAGATCTCCCAGCCATTATTTAATGTCCTCTGTCTAATTCTGTGGGGAGAGGTTGGGTTATTTTAAAGGTGATCTTCCAGAAAAAAATCAGAGGAGGTCCCTTCACATGGGGTACCTAAAGCTGAAGGTCCATCACGGTAGCATCACAAGAAATGCCTCCTGTAGAGTCACTGTGGTATGGCAGTTTTGTGAACGAGGGAACTTTTGAGTATCATCATGGTTTTGAAAGTAGGTTGGCTAGGGTTTTTTTGGGGGAGGGCCATTGAATGCCTAAGTCAGCAGACTGGGGCTCTTGAAGCAGATTCTGCAATGGTTCGTCAGTACCGTTCTGCCACAGAAAATTCATGTAAAAGCACCAAATAACTGCTAAAATTCAAGAGACAATATCAGAAAACTGGGAAATCTAGGGAGAGAAATTAAATCTTACTTTCATAGTAGATAGTGCTTCTGATAGTACCAAATACCGACAAACAGCAGCCCTCAATTGGTGTCTCCTTCAGTATTGTGAGCAGCTTGCACCTGTCACTTGACCTAGATGTAGGCATCCTCCATCCTGCAATCAGTTTGGGCAACCCTGTCGTACGAAGAGGCACATCTTCTGTCACATGGCCGGGACGGTTTGCGCAAGATGAAGGGTACTTCAGTCGCTTCATTTTACAAGCACTAATTCATTGGTGCCTGCATGCGAGTCCTGCTACAGAAGCTTTCTTTGGGTACACGATGGAGTGGAGGCTGCAGCCATTCTCAAGCAGTGTCTCCTGGACTGACAGACCTGCCCCGTTACTTGCTCCTTCTGCAGATCTGAGGGGCCTTCAGGGGCAGAAATAGATGATGGTTTGAATGAATTGTTTTCGCTGTGAGATAGGCACCGCACCTTAGATAAATATGCCCTCCTGGTATTTTGCATTGTGAATTCTGTTCCTTCTCAGGAACTGAATGCAACATAAAATTTCTGAACCACACGGGTCATCAAAAACAGTACCAAGGTGTTGGAGACAACATTTCTACCAAATGACAAGTCCCGGTTTGCATCTTAGCAAAAACTGAGTAGCTACCAGATAAGCCATTTTTTATGTTGCACTGTATCTTGGTGAATTTCATTATGTAGTGGTCTAGTCTTATAGTCTTATAGTGGTGCCGATTTTTGGCTAGCTGAGTGTGTTCTGGAGTTCGAGTATTTCAGGCTGACTTGTCAGCTCTGTGCAAACCCTACCTGTCTGTCATTTTGGGCATGTTTAAAGCAGTGTTGTGAAACTTAGCCTGAGTCAGGCTTTTTGTAATTGGTAAGAAGTGAAGGTGTGGATGTTGGGGTTTGTTTGTTTGTTTGTTTTCTCTCCTTGTTCTTCACCTTTGGTGTACTGTTTGTAAGCAACAGGTAGTAAATTCTTTTGGCAATTCATGGAGTTAATTAGCAAAGCTGTGCATGACTGCATCTTCATTGCTGGTGGGGACCTGTATGTCCCTGTATGCGAGGCCAGGCAAAGTTTGGCCAAGGACTGGATTTAACATTCATAAAAGAAAGGAGCCAGCAGTAAGTACAAACTTCAGGCTATAAGGTACCATGCTGAAAGAAGCAGGCTGGACTGTCATTTTAGGTCTAATCTGACTAGCTTCCTGAAGAGCTTAACTTGTGTTAAGTGGAGCAGCAGAGATGAGGATCTTGCTTTGACACCCATTGCTTGCAGTTGGTGGGGTGGGAAAACGCTGGTTTTCCTCTCTCTATTCCCTCGTGACCAGGGATGGGCAAGCGACCTGTGTGTGTGTGTTTGGAGACAGAGCCAAGTGATTTGCAAATACCGTACCTCAAGCTACTTGTGCTCTTTGTGGCTTGTGATATATGTTGTGAAGTTTGGAAGACTAAATCTGATTTTTGAACAAGCAAATACATTCTTAAACAAGCACATGGTGTTGCTTTTGATTACTTTAATAATAATCCAGTGAGGACACAGAACTAAATTGGTACACTTGGATTGTCCAGTAACAAAATTAGTTTAAGATAATTGAGTTGAGGTTGTGGGGTTGACACTTGGAGTATATCTCTAGACCTTGTATTGAGAAAATTTGAGGTGGAGAATTCTCTTTCTAAGATCCCAAGAGATCTTTTTTTTTAGCTGCCTGAGATCTGAGGATCTCCCTCCTCAGCAGCAAAATTTTCCGCTAAACAGAAGTTGATGGAGAAATCATGCATAATGGAAAGTATAAAATAATGTTGCTTTCTGTCCAAACGAGTGTGAATGCTTGACAACCTGTGTTTGTTTTTAAGAAGCTCTTAAAGCTGCTCTTCCCATATGCTAGAGAAAGCTGAGGAAAAAGTAAAATATGGTACGGTCCTTTGAAATTAAACAGCTGAGTCTCTTCTGCTTTGTTTGTTGGTATGAATTTTTGTGGCCATCCCTGTTTTTTTTTTAAAGGCTTGACTAAAGCCTCTCATACAAAGTTGCTGTTTAATCAGGTTGGCCTCTATGTCTCAAATCTTCCCCCTGTTC